GAGCGCTAGCCTTGAGCTGAAGAGCTGAGGGACAGCGCCCAGGCCCGGAGTTCAGGCCCCATGACCGGACCCCCCCAAAAAATGCCCTCAAAAGTCAAAATAATAGTGAGGAGATGTGATGGTGCTCCCCTGTAATTCTACCACTTAAGAGGCTGAGGCAGGAAGATCAAGAGTTCAAGACATAGAGCTGGCCCAGTGGCTCAAGTGGTAGAATGTCTGCCCGGAAAATGTAAGGCCCTGAGTTCAAACCCCAGTACTGAAAAAATAAAAAATCGAGAACATTCAAGCGGGGTTTTAGTGGTATCCAGTGTTTTTAATCCTAGCTGCTCTGAAGATTGAGATCTAGAGGATCATGGTCTATTCAAGGTCAGCCAAAGCAGAAAAGTTTGCTAAATTCCATCTCCAAAACCAGCAAAAGGCAAAGCTGAAAGCATGGCTCAAGTGATAAAATAAGCCAGAGTTCAAAACCTCAGTACTGCCAGGAAATTAAAACCAACAACCACCAAAAATTGAGTTAAAGAGCAGCCTGGGCTACTAAGCAAGGCCCTACCTCAAACAAACAAAGCGAAAAGGCAGGATGGAAACAAGGTAGGGAGTTTGCTGGGAGGAGAGGGGCGGGGTGACCCTGTCCTTGCCCCATACCTCTCTTTCCTTGGCAGGTTCCATGACAGGTTACAGACCACCTGGATTCCCCTTATCCCACACAGGCAACTCAGCACACAGGCCCACCCACTGGGCAGGTTGGCCTGGCTGGGGACCCTGGAGGCTGAGCAGCAGCCTCTATTTGGAGGCTGGGAGAACAGGGCTAGGACAGGACAGGCAGCTGGGGAGGGCTTCCAGGATGTGACCCATTTTCATCTCTAGATTTATCTGCCAGCAGAGCAGATGCCAGTCCCCTTAGGCCCCAGGGTGCGGGCGCATGCATGCACGTGCATGCACACACACACACACACACAACGTGCACATGCACACAGGGACACACCCTGCCCTGCTCTGTCAAGTGCTCCCTCCTTAAGCCCCTCCTGCTCCATGTGCTTGTAACTCCTCATCTGCACACTGCGCACTCCTATGTGAACATAGGCCTCTAGTTGCCCCCTTGACCAGGTACCTAGACAGTTGTGGCTGCACAGAGGGTTTCATCATGGGGTTCTATGCTGGCTCCCATTTTTTCCAGGAGGCCTTCTGTGACAGGCCAGGAGCCAGAAAGCAGCTGACCCCAAGCTATAGAAAGCCCACCTTGTATATGTTGGTAGATTGTGCAGGGCCCTGTGTGACCACTAGGACTCAGGGCTGGACCCCAGGACTAAATGCATCTTTCCATGTCCAGGGCTAGTCTTTCCAGGGTACACCAAGTGCCTATGAGAGGTTAGCAGCCAGAGAGCTGGGATGGGGTCAGCCCTCTCCTCCCCCCTACCAGAAGTTCAAAGAGCCAAGACTCCAGTCCTAGGCTGTGTCATCATGAGCTTCACCCAGAAATCTGTAATGGATGATTGTAGTAAGCAGTGTAGCCCATAATGGTGGAGAGAATGTGAGCAGGAGGGATCAGCCCAGCAACATGTTTTTTTTTTTTTTTTTTACCTTTTTCTTTTTTTTTTTTTGGTCATAGGGCTTGAACTCTGGGCTTGGGTGATGTCCCTGCACTCTCCAGCTCAAGACGAGCGCTCTACT